ATAGCAGCCCTGCTGAAAAGGAGAGGGCTTGCAGTGGATGCCAAGTTGAACGTGGGCCAGCAGAGCCTTCTCCCTGCACATAAGGCAAACCACGTACTAGGCTACATCAGGCAGCATGGGGCCAGCTAAGCAAGGGAAGCTCTTACTACCCTCTGTGCGATGCTGCTGAGGTACCACATGGATTTCTTCTGTCCAGTTGAGGGCCTCTTGGTCATCCAGGATGTTGAAAATCTGGGGAAAGTCCAGTAGAGGGCTGCCAAAGTACGCAGAGGCCAAGAGCACGTCCTCTGGAGAAAACACGGAAGTCTGAGGAAGAGCCGGCTATAACATCATCTAAAAACTGCCTAAAGCTGCCTGCAGGATAGTTACAAGGATGGAGCCAACTCCTCTTAATCGTGGTAGATAACATAGCAGGGACAGTGACCACAGACTCCAGCTTGGGAGGTTTGCATTAGGTATCAGGGCAAACTATTTTGCTAAGAGAGTGACACAGAAAGGTTGCATAATTTCCGTCCTTGCAGGTTTCCAGATTCAGCTAGTCAGAACAGAGCTGACTTGATCAAGTGCTAGTGACAGTCCAGCTTCAAGTGGGAGACTGGGCTGGATGATCTCCGAGGTCCATTGTGAACCACATGCCTACAAACCTGTCATCTGCTGAGAGACAGAGATTGCCCAAGACCCAAGTGCAGAGCACTGATCACACAAATCACAGTCTATTTGGTTTCCAACGAGTGAAATCCATAAGACGAAGCGTGCAGAGAGCTGTGTGAGAAGACCCCATCCACCAGAGCTCCGTACGTGCTCCAGCAGCAGCTGGGAACACGAAGCAGGAAGGAGGGATGTGCCACGACGCGGGGCTTCACGCGTGCGGCCTCGCTGCTCGTGACCTGCCTGCCAAAGGGGGCTGCTGCACACAGGGCTGCGCTCTCAGCTCTATCCAAATGGTGCTTCGCCGAGCGGGGTAAACAAGCCCTAAGTGTCATTTCCAGGAGAAAAAAAATAAGAAAAGGAATAAAACAAATCCCTCCAGCTTGTCTCACTCATTTCCTCTCCCCCCTCTCAAGCCACCTTCTCACCACAAAGGCAAAAGTCCTTTTATAATCCAAGGGCTTATCTTATCAACTTGCTCAACAGGCCCACAAAGGTGGAAGTTCACCAGAGCCCTTTGAAAGCACAGATTTAGCCTGTTTCTGAAGAGGTTGCATGTAGAAAATAAAGAAAACTCAAGTCTTTCATATGTCTCACGTTTGGAAAACTGATATTTTAAGCACGCAATTACACTTGGGGATTGTTTTAGTACTATTCTAACCTTTTTATGATAAAACTTCGTCATGTTACTGCACCATTTCAGAACTTGTTTCCACTGCAACACAGGTGTCCCCACGTGTCAAATAACAAATCTATTTTGCTGGAACTTAGGGGAAAACCTCCCAGGCAAAGAACATTGGAAGAGCTAATGTAGTCTTGTGTGCTAACCAAGAGGCCGTTCCAATATAGTTATTTATTTAGTTAGACTTATGTATAGTTATCCGGTAGGGATGCAAGTTGCATCTTCTTTAGCACTACCAAGTCAACATTTTTCTAAGCATGATGAAGTTTGAGGAAAAATTTGGCTAAGCTTCCCTCACTTATAATTTCAGTTTCAGTAACTTTTATGACCAACATTATTCTGTATATCAAAGATTACCTACTAAACCAGAAGTGAAAATATTAAAAAAAAAGTGTTTCTAAATACTAGTAGTGGTAAACAATGACTAATATCAGTATCACCTGCATGATAATTTTAATTATATTTCATTGGTTTGCCTTTTTTTTTCCTTGAAGTTTACCATATTATGCATTTGCATCTTCTTTTTTAAAAACTGTAACTGAGTTTACATAGTTATTTATTCACTGCCAAATCTTCCTGCCGCTCCCAGTACTGGCAGAAGGACAAATTCAGGCAAGAGTCCAATCTAGATTCACTTCTGGCCAAGTCCCTATTTCAGCTCTCTGAGTGCATGCAAGCGCTCGCCCTAAAAAGGCCCAGCACTGCCGAGAAGACAGCTGGTGCCTCAGTCACTGAGCAAGGGGGAAGAGCTGCCCAGAACTAATAACTAACCTGCAGTTAAAATGAAAACAGGCCTCCTCCCCCAGCCAAATGGTGTCACTTTGTCCAGGATTGGTGCGCCTTGCACGGCAGAACAAGGGTGCTGCTCTAACTTCACAATAGGTTTGTCAATGCTCCAGTTACAGTGCAGCTCTTCTGAGCTTCTGCTTTCCTTTTTCATATATATATATATATATATATATATATATATTTTAATATCTTATAGTTGTCCCTATCCTTCGTAGTCTTTCAGGCTGAAACAGCTTAAAACAGACTTACTGCTATTTCACTTGTTCAAAATGAAAGTATGAGCACACTTCCTCTCTTGTGAGAGTCCAGTTTTGGACCTTCATACATCAGAGAAGTCTTATTAAAGTAACTCACCTCCTTTTGTAACACTCAGCTTGATTTCTTGTGGCTTAGTTTGAAGCTGTGCTTTTGGAAAGCATTGACCTACTCTTCTAAAAGTTCATGTTTTTTTTTTTTTTTTAAAAAAACTACATCTTCTAAGATGGCTTCATTAGCTACTTGTATTAAAGGTGCAAGTAAAATGTGTTATAGTAGTAAGTGACTTACCCCAGGAAATAGAAAGGTTTTTTCCTTTTAATGCATATATCATGGACTGCATGTGGCAATACCAAAATACTAGCTTAATGAATTCCAGTATCAGAAAAAGAACAGGGAAGGGAGTCAAGAGAATATCTGATTTCTGAAAAACCCCTTAGCTATCAAGGTTTATTCGGCATGCGTGCTGCTGGGCCGTAACTCAATGGGAGCGCAGTCGGCTGCCCGGCCTGGCGCGTGGAGGACACGTGTTACTGCTGCTCCAAGCGCCTGCTCAGCACGGCAGGAGGCCGGCGCTCCGGACCGAGGGCTTGGAGAGAACGTTCCAGGACACAAACCAGCCCCAACTGCCCCCGCAGGGGTTCTCTGCAGACTCTGGGGAGCGCCTTGGGGCTGGGCGGCCTCACGGGCAGCCTTGGAGCACAGCCCCGCCAGGGATGCACAGGCAGCCCCAGGGGCAGGCAGGGTCTGTGCCTCCCAGCCACTGGTAGCCTCCGAGCAAGAGCCCGACCTCTCCGTTCCCTCCGCCTTCTCCCGTGGCGGGGCTTCCTCCTGAGGCACCTGTCTGACCTGCCTCCCGTCTACAGCTCATGGGTCCATCACACAACACAACACAGGGCCGGGACCTGGCCCTGACCTCCCTGCTTACATGAAAGGGATTTGAGCAACTTAACTGGAAAGCTTAAAGAACAACAACAAAAAACAAAATAAAACCATGCCGCAAGCTGTTAGCACTACTGCTGACAGGAGGGGGACAGCTGCAGCAGCACATGTAAGGGCTACCAGGGCAGCTCCCAGGCTCTCCAGGCTCCTATTTCCCCAAAGCCTGTGACCACCCCGAGCCTGGGCAGCACCAGCGCGCGCAGCGCGGCTGCTGCAACGCAGGGTCGCTTCCTGCGTGGGAAGGAGCTCCTCAAGTGCGAGGTCACCACATCAGCGTGCCAGCTCCCGCCACCCGCGCACGGTGATGACATACAGCTATGTGTGTTTCTGTAGCCATCAAATAACTTTGACTGCCTTTGAAGAAAAAAGAAAGCAATTTTGAATTTTGTTGATGAGTAGTATTTCTAGGTAAACACAAGCCCTGTTCACGTACCAAGCCTCCCCCCTCCCCAGAATAATTTGAGGACTTCTTTATGGATAGATCCAAGCTGAACAAAGCTTAGGGAAGTGAGGGTCCCTGCTCTACTACAATAAATACAGAGATTGGAAGAAAGAGAAATGTTTAGATTTTCCTGTCTTATTTCATAGCTGAACGTGCCTCTGTTATGCTTATCAGAACACAGGCAGTACATATGATACTGCTCAAAGAGTGTTATCAAAACAGCTTTTCTTCTATAGAAATTTTTCACTAGGAACAGATATTCCATGCAAGACATCTACTGCCACAAACTGGAAAGGGTTATATATATATGTATTTTTTTTAAAAAAACACACCCCAGAGTATTAAGGAACCCCCCGGAGTTCTGAATTAAAATACAAACTTTACAACACATAGTAAGTGTAGGCTCTTATATTTCATTTTAAGACTATATAATTTTATAGAGTACCAAAATAAGCAAAGGATCAGCACTCCATACAAAGTGTTAGCTCTGGGAGGCGGGGAGGGAGAAGAAGGAATTTAATTACACTACGATTTTCTGCAAGGCTAAAGAAAACTCCATTTCAGCAAAACAGGTTCAGGTTTAGATTTCCTGTATTTCTAGTTCATTAAATAGTGTTTCTTTAAAGACAATTTACACTTTTGTCCAGAGGGATGATTTAAAGCAATATTAACAAGGAGGTGGTGCTGTGAATGTTTAATGTCAATAATGCAGTATGTTATCTGCTATAAAGGCTAGAAGAGCAACACAACTATATTTGTACTTCCAAAGAGTATTAGAAAATGACTAACACTTTAAAGAAATCCAAGCGCACTACATCAACTCAGTATCTACACCTGCTGCTGGGAGAAGGCCCTGGCACCAGGAGTTGCTGGGTGCACAGATCCCAAGCCCCAGGGCCTGTTAGCAACATGCCTGTCACCCATACACCGTAACTCTCACATGGCATTAAATTGCAAGTAAGTTGCTAAGCTAACCTTGCCACTACACTTTTACAAAAGCATATACCTGAACAAAATAACAATTAAAACTAAGCTGAAGTTCTCTGTTTGGTTCCAGAATTCATCTTCCACAGCCCCCTGCCTTCTTTCCTAGCTCCTGTCCAGTTCTTCCCCACTCCCTCCCTAGTTTTTATTTTACAATCAATATAGAGTGGATTTACACGATGCATAAGTGGAACTCAGAAGTCTTTTGCCCTACACATATAGCCACATTAAGCTGTGAGATCATACATGTGATATCTCTAACAGAGCAACCACCACTTTAGATTTTTAAAGAAACACAAGTATTTCAGCATTGACATAGTAATGAGCTTAAGACTATCCAACATCATTTGCTTTTATACAATCTCTTCCTCTTTATAGCCTTAAAGGGATTTTAGACCTTGATGGCAACAATCCCAAAACAAGAGTAAAATGAGTTTATTTTATTGCAAACAAACGTCTAGAATTAAATTTCTCCACCCACTTTCTTTAAAGAGAAAAAGGAAATCAGCAGGCTAAGGAGATACACCCATTTGAGAATTGACATGATTAAAAATTAGATATAAAATGGGTGACTCACAGTTTAATTAGCTTACAAAATGGTGGAGTAACTACTACAAGCACACTAGGTATACAGTATTTTGGGGGGAAAGGGTTATACAGACACACAGCTAACTTCATATAGATCCCATTAGACAACTGGATTTACAACAAGTTTTGTTTAATAAGAAATGGGCAAAGCCAGCTTCTTTTCAGAATCAAAATGCAGAACAAATGGAAAAGAAATTATGGTGTTGTACCTTCACAAGTTTGAGCCTCCACAAATAATGCAACCAAGTTTTTACAGCTTGAAGAGCTTCTATATACACTCCACCTTCACTATTCAGCTCCAGGTTTCCTCTTTGCCCCAACATCTATTGAAGTCCAAGTGTTACAAAAAAGTCCTAGTTATTGCCAGAAACTTTTACCTCCCCCTCCTCCCGTCCCCACCCAGAAGCTTCATAGAGAGGATGGAGTGTAATACAGAGCTTTACATAATCTCATGATATTCATAAGGGCTACTAAGGAGCCTCTATACGAATCTGGTTGCTAACATTTCTATCATATTGTGACATGACTCACGACTGTTTCTTAGAAATTGGGGGATGGGGGGAAAAGGAGAAAATTCTTTAATAAAAAGACACCAGGTACAAAGCAACGTTTTACTTTTGTTGTGGTAAAAAAAAAGTCACATTTTACAGATAAAATGTAGAACCCTGAAATACTGACACATTCTCTTATCGTGCACAATGCTGAGGTTCTCTTACGAATCACTTTAAAACTGCAATTAAAAATGTACAAAAAAAAGAAAAGAAAAAAATCAACCCACAAAGCTTCTAAAAAAGGAACCCGCAGGCACTTCCTCTTGTGGAATGTTTAAAAAGTTAGCCTACTAAAGAAAACAGTCGACTTCTTGTGAAGGTTTTGGAGAAATATGTATCAGTTCATTTATTTGGGTATTCAATAATATCCTTGGTGATAATGCTGACTCCATGGCTTCTGACCCCAGAATTGCTGCAATAAATGGATAAATAGTTAATTTTAACCCACTATCAGAGAGATCAAGGTCATTTCTTACAGATTTCTTTAAAAACGCACCTAGTTCTCCTTGATCTTAAGACTATAATCCTCTCAAATAGCAGTAAGTTCTTAAACTGAAGGCAGCTGAGTGCACTTCACTGTTCTAGTGTGAAGCCAACTATGACACACCATTAAGATTGTTAAGCCATAGCTGAAACTTGATGCACCAAGACCATCAAGCCAGATTAAGTTCTACAGAGATAACTATTTATAGCAACATTACCTGGCTAACACAAAATCTTGCTAGTTATTATTACACACCTACCATAATTATTTCCAATAGCATCCAGTTAACAATCAGCAAACAGAAAAAGTTTAAGTTATTACTACTTACACCCTGCTGCCACTGGTTGTAGCCCTGAGATTGGTTTTTGTAGCCACGATTATTTCCCCGTCCTCTGAAGTTCTGCAAGACAACAGTTTTGAACTATTTAATCTAGACAGTTTTTTCAGAAATCCTTCTGTTCTTCCCAAAACATTGCATGCCACATGAGCTTTCCAGTATAAAGTATCAAGGCTGTATTAACAAACAAAATATTCTGACAGTCCTTTCCTCCAGGCAGACACTTTCTAAGGACAAGGCAAGAACCTCCAGCGCAATAAGTCAGCTCAGGAAACTTCTGTTGCTCGTGGTCTGGAAACCTTGCTAATCCAGTTTTGACTCACCCTCTTTCCAGCTGCTAAATTGCATTGGGACAACTAAAAATACAAGAGCTCGTCTATTTTTAGTTAGGAAAGGCCATAGTTGCTACAAGGTTGTTATGTGATCAGACAAAGGATATGGGTTATACAACTGAGAACAGAAGAGCTGGTTCACAAAACTTCAAGTAAAAGCTATGATACAACAGACCTTGATGCTGGCAGATAAAATACTGCTTTTCCCCTGTTTATAAGGGTTAGAAGAACATGAGGCATTTTTATTAGCTTGGGCTCCATCTGCTGGCTCTTCAGTAATCCAAATTTTCTATTTTTGAAATATTTTCATTGATATTCATCAGTTAAGATGAAAAGTATTTAACTCTTTACCGCCTGTGCTTCCTACCAGGCACCTAAGTTAAATGCTGAACTATATATTTTTAAATTACATCTCAGTGTTTGCATCTAGATTAATTGCAAAAAGGCAACTCTGGCCTTTCAGAAAGCACCGAAACAGAAGCTGCTCTTTTACCTACCATAAAACAACACCCTAGAAGGTTTCCAGAACTCATTGGCCAGAAAGATACAGTCTAATACAAAACCACCATAACAGCACTAGATCTTTTTAGGTCATCTTCAGAGCTCTAGGCACTTGCACAAACTAGAAAGTTAGGCCTTTTGTTATGGGATTAGCACAGCGAAATAGACAAGTTTGCTGCTACTCATAGTAACAAACCTTTCAAGCAGTGTTGCCTCAAGTACTGTAGTTCAGCTAATAAGCCCCTGAAAAGGCATTACCTGGTTGTAGTTCCCCCTGTTGGGCATTCCACCTCTGTTATAGTTTCCTCTGTTCGAGTAGCCACCCCTGCTGGGGAAGACAGGGCCCCGAGGATAGGGATAGCCAATGGCACCACTGCTGCCGCCGCCACCGCCACCACCTCCACCACCTCGCTGGGGCATGTTGCCTCCCCGCCGGTTGTATCCACCACGGTTGCCAGGAACTGTGGAGGAGAAGACTGCTTGAATCAAGCTTGAATTGCTATTTTTGAACAAACAGAAAATAATTTAGTGATGGTACAAAAGTGGAGATGCCTAAACTCAGCACAAAAGAGATCAAGCCACCTGGTCACCATGAGCAACACTAACTTAAACATGCAAAACCCCTAACATGCTACACAAACATCAGACAATAAACAAGAATTCAGAAACTGTACCTCAAGCTACATGAATAATTCCAGATTTAAAGAACTGGTGACCATTTTTGCAATGAAGGTCAAGGTATTAACCTCACTTGAGTTGAGATCAAGGTTCCCACAACACAATCATTACACTTCAAGTAACATAAGCTTTTTTCTTAGCAGGACTGATCTCTGGAGTTTACAGGCCTATCATCTGGCTAGGCTCACCTCCTCCTCTGAAATTGCCACGCATGTTGAATCCTCCACGTCCTCTCTGACCTCTATTAAATTGATTTTTATTGCTCTTTTTATTCTTCTTCGAGCCAGTGTTCTGTTTCTTTTCAGGTGGAAGAGATTTCTTACTTTCTTCTTTATATTGTTCCAAGAGCTTCTGAGCTTCTTCTTTTTGTAACTCTACATAGATTATTTCATCAAAACATTCCGCTACCTCTGGCAGTGTGAAGTTCCCTATGATTGCAAAAACACTGAGTATTCAGCATCTCCATTCAGCTACAATTAAAGATCAGTAACCGCCTTTCTCCCCTTCTTCCTCCCACCCCGCGCATTCCCAACACGTAGGGACAAAAATTACAGAACTTCAACATTTAGGAAACGTAAGCGTGACGAAATAAATGATGGGTCTCCAAGGAATTGCCAGTACTGTTCCAAACCTTGAAAACATTCTGCCTATATCTTTTTTTTTTTTTTTAAACCTCCACTCAGAGTACCAGTTTCTGCCAAATATGTCACTTAAATAGGGCACTTTATGCCAAGACAGCTTTGTGCATCTGCATGAAGCTTATCAGCATAACTGAGTAGTGTTAAGGACTGCAGCAGAGGGAACACAATATAGTGTTATCCTACCAGTTACAATAGTCTTCCAGTTTTGCTCAAGTAAAACTGTTTAAGATAACGTGATCTTTAGACTTTAGATTTACTTAATCCTTTAAACAGATACTCAGCATCCTAAAACACAGTATAGGATTATGTTCCATGCCTTTCATTTTGAGAACTGCATGCTCTGGAAGATCTTTTCCCTCCACCTCTGCCTTCTTTTGTGTTCTTTGCTTGTAGTCTTCATCTTTTGGGCAAACAACAACTGCTTTGCGCTGGAAGCCTGCAAACAGGCACATTTTTCTCCTCTGCGCAGCTGCAGACACATTTGTCTGAAAAAAATGCAGTAACTTACTACACGTAGCTGTCATTGTAAGAGTTAAGGAAGTCAACTTATGGTGTATAGACTTCACCTCTACAAGAACTTGCAATGAAGTATACAAATAACTGGACATAAAGATGTTGCATAATGCAAAGTTACGATCTCATATTCAAGTGTTAAAACACTATTCCTCCCACATCCCATAAATCCAGAGAAGTTCAGATAAAGCATATGTAGTAATATCTCAAGTCCACATCCCCTGAATTTGAGCAAGTCACTAGGTGAAAGTGAAACTAACCACCACTATTAGAATGTAACTTTAACCCCATTTAACTACTGTAGCCTATAGCAAGTTTCCTCAACATTTTTTCACTGAAGCCTCTACCTGATCCAAAATGAAATTCCGCTTCTTACGAGCTGCAATCTCAATGAACTTTCCAAGACACTGTGGAGCTCTCTGCAACAGTGTGTTAAGTTTTCCGGTGTCTGCCATTTGCCGCTTAAAACCTGCAACCTACAGAGAAATTTCCCAGAGTTATAGCAGCCCTGATCCATGTGGCTGCTGTTTTCCTTTGCTAGGTATTTTTCATCTATCTTCAAGCACTGTTAAAGTCAAGGCAATGGCTAACAACTCAACTAACTGAAATTCCCAAAGCCTCGACAAAATGTCTGTTTTTTTTTTTTTTTTTTTTTTTTTTTATAAAAATCTAGGTGAAGCAATACAGTTGAATGTAAGGTACATTTTCATCACATTCAAAACTTTATATGCTGAAGACTGACGAAGTGAAACACAATATCTGAATACCAGAATACACAGCACTTAATTCTGCTGCGCTGTGTGCAAGAAGTAAAACTCAATCTTTAATCTTCTCTAGCAGCTAAATAACTAATAGCTGCTTCTTAAGATTTATAGACAAATAATTTTCTGGGAGCAGAGAATCCTCAAGTTTACAGTAAGTGTGCAACATATCAACAAATGGAAAGTCACATTACCACTTACCATCATTTTGTCCATAATGGTATTTGTCCCAAGAATGTTATATTTCCCAGGATTTGCTGCTGCATGTTTGGTAACCCAGGTAGTTTTGCCTGCTCCAGGCAAGCCAATCATCATCACCACCTATCAGGACAAATTATGTATTTGAAATACCAATTTGTTTCTTTAATATGCAACTTAAAGGAAACTTTGCCACACTTAAGATTAGCAAGTCCAATTAAAATAGTAAGCAGTGGGTGGGTGAAATCAAGTCATGGGCTATCAAGAGGCAATATCATTCTCCAAACACAAAGGAGAAGAGTTGTACCGTGGTATGCTTAGCTTAAATAAATGCCACTGCTTTTTGTCTACCTGCTTCAACAATTTCGAGACAACAAACAAGAACCTTACCTCACAATCCTTCTTTTGCTCAGGCCCCTTTGGTCCTCGGACCCTATCGTCCAGGGGAACCTTCTGGATGAAGGTGAACTCTTCAGGTACAGGAAAGTAGGGCTCATCTTTCTGACCAAAGTTGAACTCAACTGCACAGTTATGGCAGAGAACATGTGGGAAGAGTGGCCGCCCATCGAGGACTTCCTTACTTATCTTGAAGGCCACTCCAAGCTCTTGGCCATTCTTGGAATACGAGAGCTCCACTTCATCACCATCAAAATTCTGTTTTTCAAGCAAAGCATCAGTTTGTATGAAATTACTCACTTCATAATGAAAAATCTTATTAGTAATTACACTGTATTAGCACTATTCACTCAAAACTTTTTAACACTGTTACATGCAATTCCTTAAAAGCTTCCTCTCTTGCAATGACTGACTGCCAACGATGATCTTAAGAACTATTTTTTTTCCCTCCAGAAAGGCTTTAGACACATTTGTCTATGAATATGCAATCTTAAAACTTTGACAGCAGTCCATGTTGATTATGCATGCTATTCCTGCCTCCTCCCTACATCAGGCTACTTGTCTTGCTCCAAGCTTTTCTGGATTCAGTTTACCCCTTTCTCGCATCAAATCAGCTTGGAAAATTCAAGTTCCTCTCCCCTCCCCCTCAAGAGAAAACGTAAGTGAAAACTTACAGCAAAACATCCAATCACATCATTTTCATCAAACTTCTCACCAAAGTCCTCAGTCTCACAATTGCATGTTTTTATTCCTTTCAGCGAATATCCGTAAGAAAATTCCTCTTCACCTGAAGAAGTAATTTAAAGTATGTATTTTGTCTAACTTCCATGCATACAGTAACTTTATAAATACATAAATATAATGACATTGAGTACGCTTTTATTTTTGCTAGAACAGGCTTTGATTCCCATGACAACTACTGCTCATTCTTTTAAGAAATGAACATTCTCACTTAACATCTAACATCAGTGCTGCCCCTTTCCAGGGTTTGAGTCTTACGCTGCTGGTTCCAGATTCACATTTACATAAAACTAAACTGCTAGATAAAGAAAGCATAAGTATTACATCAAAAGATCTGCTTATGCACCCACACACTTGTAATACAAATATTTGATTAGGCTTTATGAACTAGCCAGTAGCACCTGACCCTCCCCATTTTATAGGCTGAATTTTACCTCAGCTCCCCATGTGACAGCTAAGAACGAAGGTAACAGGAAGCGTCACTAGACTCAGGTGAGACTTAAACACTTGAGTAGAAAGCCATTGATGTTGGAACGTAGCAAACCATACACATCCCCTACAAAGGGGCATTCCACCAGCAGGTATCAGTTATTAACACTAATGAACTGTTCAATTTATGTTCCTAGCCACTTCCAGAATGTGCCTTCTCTCTTGCCCCCAAAACAAGAATATACTTAGCAAGGAATTTTCCTTTTAAGACTAGTCTTAACAAAACAAAAAAGAAAACTTATTCCTAACAGTTTTGATCCCCAAAAAGGCACTTTCTGTGCGTCCAATAAATAGTTCAAGTCAAAACTGCCTTTCTGCCTTTTTTTTTTTTTTTTAAAAAAAAAAGCACACTTGGATTACAAACACCAAGTTTTTCCTCAGCGAGCTTAAGAAACGACAATTTCAACCACACAAAAATAATACGTAAATAACCAAACGTTTAAATCTTACCGAGCAACATTCCACTTGTGTTCAGTGACCAGCCAACTCGCACTTCGTGTATGTCAATGTCTTTTGTATACAGATGTTTAACAGGAATCTTTTCTGTAACCTATTTTTAAATCATTTATTAAAAAGTATGTAGTATTAAACTCCAGCAAGATGGAAACACAAAGGTAATATCTGGAACCTTTGTACTTGTTTCGATCCTTGCTAAATGCAAGTAATTATCATATTCAGCAAGAGAGAGGCATGTTCAGCTTAAGTTATGTGGAATCACAAGCCAGTCACTAAAAATCTACATCTCTTGACTAAGGAGCAGAGATATGATACACCCCATAACTTCAAAGTTCTTAGTCACAGCAGTACCTGTTAATGGCCAAAACACTCAATCCTTCTGAGATCATATTAAAATTACACACCTTAATATATACATTTTAAAAAACTGCCATAATATTGAGATTTAACAATAAGCTGCTCCGCAGTGAAATGGGGCATGAGCAAAACTTGTGTTAGACAGACCTGAGAAAACAGTATGGATCCCTTTCCAGTAACTAGTGTTTCTGGGCAAGCTGCCAACTTTCGAGCAACAGATTCAAAGCAGATTCAATCACACCACCAAGAGTACTGGAATCTGTAGGCAACCTGCTACTTTCTAACCTGCTTTAGGTCAGTTTGGTGACATTTGCAAAAAACTGACCAGCATCCCACACTTTGCCCAGCTGTTCAATTCCAGTGACCAGAAGTGACATCGATTCAAAAGTGAAGGCCCTTTAGCGGCCTTTCCAAGTTATAAATACCCGCAGAGAGAGAAAGCACTCAAGAGGAGTGGAAAAAGGGGAACGCTACCCACTCCTCCTGGCAGTGGTTGGACTGGGAAGTACTAAGCATGTATATATACAGACAAGTCATGAGCAAAAAGGCTTAAGCATTGTTAAACCAAAGTCAAGTTCTGCGCCTTCCATTCCTTCCCCCTTCAGTGAGTGGGAGAAATGTGATTATTGCAAGGCTTTCTCCTTTTCAACCTTCTCTTTTAGTAGAATTCTTTTCCCATACATTATGTACAGAACCTATAAAATTATTTAGGTTCCAAGGGACTTCTGGAGTGTGTGCGTTTCTAGAACCTTCAGGAAGTAACACCAAATATTGACTAGCAACATTCACCAAATCTCACAGTAGGTGCCAACAGAAAGTCTGGGCTCAAAAGTTAAGGTCATTAGTTAGTTACGCATTCCACAAAAATCCAAGCTCATGTTTTAAATGCAGTCCACATAAAAGTAGTTTTGCTAATTAGGATGTTTTTTATTGAGAACAGTTTCACAGGCATAGAAGAGACAGTCTAAAAGCTCCTATGCTCTATTCAGATGAATTGGTGGCAACTAAATTAAAGATTTTTGACTGAAAAAAAATGGCAAAGGATGAACAGATTTATACTTAGGCACACAGAATGATCTCTCACCAAAACATCAGTTTAACTCACCTTCATCTCAAAGCAGACTTTGCCTTTAGAAACTCCATAGGAGGCTCTTCCTCCAGCCCAAAGAAAAGCAAAGCTTTCCATGGTCAGAGAGGAAGCACTAAACCGGTCTCTCGAGATTTTAAAATGCAGGTCACAGTTATCTGTTAACATAAAAATCATTATTTACTCTATTACAAAGTAAGTATGACTGTCTTACGCATTAAATGCAATTCCAGTTTTCGAAGGCACAAACCTCCACCGTTTTAAGAGAAACTGTTGGTGCCTGGCATGTGTCCAGCATCTTTCAGCAGAGCAACTGAATACAACATACCTAAAATATATAAATCTGAAAGCTTTACTTTTAGCTAGCATTTTCTAGGTGCCATGTTCATTCTGACACCAAATTCCATGTATGTAGCAGCACCTGGAACACACACCTACTTTGACAGAAGTGACTAAAATCAGTTCTGTTTGAATCTTATTAGCCCATTACCTGAGACATTGCAGCACAATACATCAGCAGAACCTGCACAGTGCTCTTTGCATTACATGCTAAATTTTAGGTTTTCTTACTATCGTGTCCAGCTAAGAAAGAGATTAAGTACTGAAACTAGTGCTGCCTTTGGTGAATAATTTATCAAGTCCAATTAGATTAAGCCAATTAAAATAAAGTCTGTCAAGTCAGATGCAGGTAGCTTAAGCAGACAGAATGTGCCAAGAGAGTCTCCTTCACACGAGAAACAAGATCTGCGCTATGAATTTGCCTATCGTTCTAAGCAAATCCTAAGAACACAAGTAAAACCTTTGCTTTAATTACATCTTCAGAGCAGTACGTTATTTTTCTAGTAACCTTCAACATGACAATGCAAAATCGTAGTATGATGTGCAGCATTGAGCCCTTAAAGTTCCCAAGAGCTAGGGATCCACAGAAGAAACTCCATGCTAGTGCATGCTGCTCAAGTACAGAAGAATGCAGTTTTCCATTTATGACTAGAAATGCCCACGAATGTGAGCTTGCTTGCATAAAGTTATCTCTAGTTGCAACTGCAGTATTTGACTCAAGTGTATTTTCATATTTTTAGTTTTTGCATAAAGAACAAAAAGCTAACATACAAAAGAGCCATCTAGAGCAAGTTACTTTTAGAACTGTGTTTTCATTGTCATTCTAAGTTTTAGCCTTTTTACAAAATGTGTAATAAAACATATTTAACAATGCTAAATCTCTTATGTCTGGATCATTATGGTCCAGATGAGAGCCAGGCTGTTACACAATTCAGTCTTGAACTTATGACTGACTCTGTGCTACCAGAAACCTGACAACACCTTTAACTAAAACAGAATTTATTTGTCTGAAGTAGTAACACTAAAAATGTTGAAGTTTCATTTCTAGAAGAAATGGTGGGTTCTAATATTCAAACTTACCTACTAGTCACAGTTATTTGGAAAACTAGGAACTCCTACAAGATTGTTCCTTGGTGGGGAGTTATCACAGACAAAAGATAAACAATTCTAGATTTTAGTTACCAAA